AGAGAAAACGCTAAGTCCCCCTGGCTACTAGAAACACACCTTTAATATTTCCACTCTCTGCTTTCTAAGTCACCAGGTTTGTGAGTTTTGTCCTATTTCAACATTTAACATTGTATATTAAATTATCTCTATATTACAAGAACAAATGTTTTCATGAAACATAAATACTTAAGTTCTGAAAATTATATATAGGGAGAAAACAGCATTTCCAATCAACTGGATACTTAGTATTACGATTACTGTTAACTGGATAACTTGTTTTATTTTTACCATTTTAACCATTTTTATGTGTACATCAGTGGCATTAAGTACATTCACCATGTTGTGCTGTTATCACCATGGGATAGTATTTTAGAAAGTAAAACTGAAAATATTTACTCAAGCCAACTTACAGCTCACTTTAGATGCAACCAGCTTTTAAAAGGAGTTTTCATAATTATCATTAGGAGCATAACTAGGCTGTTTTCATAGTTGGCACCCCTAACGCAAATGACTCACTGTCAATTACAGTTTATAGTTATATTTGAACTCTTCTTTTCTCAAGACTGTACAGGTAGTCTTGGCAGTTTATCCTTACATATTTTAAAATATTTCTGTACATAAAACATCTCATGTATAGAAGAATTGCTAATCCTCCAATTCACCTCCAATTCCAGATATGCTGACTTGTTTATAGATTATCCCTGTTAAGAATGGTGATAAGCTAAAAAAGTCTCCATTTTAGAAGGCAATAACTCATTCAGTGCTGTGTAAGTTTAATGACACAGCTGGGCCGTTAACTCTCACATAACAAATGCAGAGACGCTAACAAAGGGTGAGAAAGTCTATCCCCTTGGAGGTCCTGCAACAACACCACCTTCTAACACCAGAGCCCCAAAGCAAGTAAGTCCTTTTGAGTATAGTCTGTTTCACAGAGGAAGTACCAGGTTAAAGCTTGTCAAAGGAAACAGTGACACGCGTTAGCTGTGCATCCGCAGGATTCTAACCACTGCCCCATCTTGAGAAAGAATGTTATTTTAGAAAGTTAAAGGAACAAAAGAAAATTTACAACATTGTTCCTGGTATGTTGTCTGGCTAATTTTTTTTCCCAGGGTAACATACAAGAATCCTAGGCCCCCCACAGATTCTAATGAATAAGTTCTCCAGCAATGATTAGCTAAGATGCTAATGCTTTTACTACAAGCCTCAATAGGGCTTTGACAGGGCTTCCCCCTTGGGCCAGGATTTCCAATGTCAAAGAGATGGCAAGAAAAAGAGAGTACAGACAGACCTTCTAACCTTTTCCAGTCTCACGAGATATTAAAACAGGGGATACACAAAGAGCATTTGATTTACTATGGTACTGTCCACAATAAAGATGCAAACTCCCCGAGTCTGCTGGGAGAATACAGGTGATGCAGCAGCCCTAGAGATGGCTGTTTCTCACCGCGGGCAGCTGCCGGCAAGGACAATGGAATTAGCCTTAGGCTCTA